GTCGTCGTCGTGTGTGTGTGTGTGTGTGTGTGTGTGTGTGTGTGTGTGTGTGTGTGTGTGTGTGTGTGTGTGTGTGTGTGTGTGTGTGTCTGTGTGTGTCTGTGTCTGTGTGTGTGTCTGTGGTCGTGTTTGTGTGTCGGTGTCTGCGTGCGAGCGCGTGTATCTGTGTGCGGCTAACTTGGTTCTGTGCACAACACAGGGTTTCTGTGCGAAATCACAGCACACAATCGCGTGTACACACACGCGCGCGCGTGCTTGCACACAACCAAGGCATGGAGGATCTGAATCCCCTGTGCAGACACCACATCATAACTTACTCAATGCACACACTGCTGCTTGCTTGCTTGCTTGCTTGTTTGCTTGTTTGCTTGCTTGCCTACACCGTAGAGATGTGGGGTATAGCGTACCCCTTTCCCTACCTAAACCTCTACAATGCCACCGCAACTGCGTTGAAGAGCGTGCACCCGTCTCTCAAGGTCGGCGGCCCAGCAACCATGCAGGTCCGTTCGGCGAGCACCTTGAAGCGTCCACATGACTCTGTGTGTGTGTGTGTGTGTCTGTGTCTGTGTCTGTGTCTGTGTGTGTGTGTGTGTGTGTGTCTGTCTGTGTCTGTGTCTGTGTCTGTGTCTGTGTCTGTGTGTGTGTCTGTCTGTCTCTGTCTATTTGTATCTGTATGTCTGCTCATGTTGGCGTGCATGTTCCTGTGTGTGGTATGTGTATGTGGGTGGTCCTGTGTATTGCATGCGTACATGTACCCTTGCATATGTGGCTGTTGTCCTTCCAACCCCCGTCCTGAGTGACACTTTACCGCACTCCCCCACCCCCTTACCTCCATGACTGCAGGTGCAGCACGTGGCTGATTTCATCCACAACACCTCTGCCCGTGGAATCCCCGTCGACTTTGTGAGGTGCGATGCCGCTGATGGTGTGTCACCGCATCGTCATTTGCCCTGGCTGCAAACGGCAGCAACACCACTCGGAACAAACACGCACGCACGCGCACGCGTGTGTATGTGTGTATGTGTGTATGTGTGTCTGTGTGTGTGTGTGTGTGTGTGTGTGTCTGTCTGTCTGTGTCTGTGTCTGCCTGTGTCTGTATCTGTGTCTGTGTCTGTCTGTGTCTGTGTCTGTATCTGTGTCTGTGTCTGTATCTGTGTCTGTGTCCGTGCACCTTCACGCTTGGCAAGCGCCCGCAGCCGACATTCACACAATACCGCATCCTCACGATCCACACGCGCGTGCTTCATATTTCTCGCTGTCATGTCTGGCACATACGCAGCACCCATCTGTATCCATCAGACCCCAACTGCAACTTGCCGTCGACGCGCAACGATCCAGACTGCTTTGCGCACACGCTGCAAAGCACACAGAAGATTGCCGCCGCTGCACACCTTCCGCTCTTAATCACAGGTATCATGCATGCATGTCTTCCTTTCTGTGTGCGTCTGTGTTGTGTGGTGTGTGTGTCTGTGTGTGTGTGTGTCTGTGTGTGTCTGTGCCTGTGTCTGTGTCTGTGTCTGTGCGTATGTGTATGTGTTTTAATCTGCGTTCTATCTGTACGTTTGTTTATCTGTGTGTTCTGGGTCGCAATGTTGTGTCCGTCAATCTACTCGTGCATCTTTCGATACCTGCACTCTTACATTCTTCCGTCCACTCACATTGTCCCCTGTAACGCCACGAAGAGTACAATGACGGACTGGAGGGAACACCGCCGCACCGCGACACCGCATATGCCGCCGCGTTTGTCTTCCACAACGTCCCGCTTGTGCAGAACCTCTCGCTCTTCTCCTGGTGGACATTCACAGACGTCTTTGAAGAGGGCGGCATGAATCCAAGTAGGCGCGCAGCGAAGTGTGTGTGTGTGTGTGTGTGTGTGTGTGTGTGTGTGTGTGTGTGTGTGTGTGAGTGTGTGTGTGTGTGTGTGAGCGTGTGTGTGAGAGCGTACGAGACAGACACACACACACACACAGACAAACAGACAGAGACAGGCACACAGAGATGAGGAGGATGCGCGGTTTGTGAGAGAGGTTGTTAGCGGTGAGGTATGGGCGTTGGAAGGTGAGGGATTCCCGTGCGTCTGATGCACTGCTTGCGCGCGTTTGGTTTCTCTCAACTCCTCAACTGCACATCACACACGCGCATCTGTGGGGAGACAGGTCCGTTCAGCAACGCATTTGGTTTGCAGAACATCTATGGCGTGGCCAAGCCCGTCTACCGCGCATTCCAACTTCTCAACGATGCGGGCCGCTTTGCTCTCCGCACCACCGTCACACAGCCCAGCAGCCAGCCACCAACAGGTTGGCTTGCTTGCTTGCTTGCTTGCTTGCTCTTATTTGCTTTCTCTTGCTTGATTGATTGATTGATTGCTTGTGTTTTCATCGCCATTGCATCTGCATTTACGTTTTGCCTGTGCTGCCACCCGCACTCCACCGCACGCCCCGCGTTGCGCCCGTTGCTCCTCCCCCCCCCACCCCCTCATGACTTCGACCACCTGTGCGCACCTTGGCCGCATGAACGTGCTGTGCGCTCGCAGGACAAGTGCGTGTGTTTGCAACGATTAACAGCACGGCAAGCGCACCTGTCCACGAGAAGCTGCAGTCGCTGCGGGTGCATGTGAGCAATTTCCTCCGCCTCGATATGGGCGAGTGCGGCAACAACACCGCCACCATCACCATCCCAACGACCTCTCCCCCGGTTGGTCACGCCTGTGTCCGTGTCTCTGTGTCTGTATCTGTGTCTGTGTCTGTGTCTGTGTGCGTGCGTTCGCGCACGTATGTATTGATGTTTTTCCTTGCATTTTGTGATTCGCTTGTCTCTCACACAATCCAACCATGTGTTCACACGCACGTACATTACATGCGCGCACAGCCTGCTTCGCTCTCTGCGCGGGTGTATGCCCTCGACGACTGGAGCGTCAACCCGAGGGCAGAGTGGACACGTCTGGGATCGCCCGTGTATCCAACACAGCAGCAACTGAACCGCATCTTTGCTGCATCTGAGGTACGATGGCTGCATGCATTGATTAGCAGATGGGTGGATTGTCTCTTTCTTCTTCGTCTGCTTCCAGTGATGTGTTCATCGACACTTTGTTCGTTACCGCCACATTTAATCAGCACACACGATCGCATGTGTGTGGGTTGTCTGCCTGGCTGGTTGACTGTCTTTCTGCATGTTGTTGCGCCTGTGTATTTGCGTCTGTGTGTGTATTTACGTCTGTGCGTGCGTGTGTCTGTGTCTGTGTCTGTGTCTGTGTCTGTGTCTGTGTCTGTGTCTGTGTCTGTGTCTGTGTGCGCGTGTTTCATACCTGCAGGTGACGCCTTCGGCTCAGGAATTGAAGATTACAAAGGAAGCTGTGTCATTTACGACACACTTGCGCGGGTGCAGTGCGTACCTCGTAACATTCCACGTGCAGTAGAATTGGCGATGCGTATTGGGAACTTGTGCTTGTCATTTGATCTGCTCATGCCAATCCGTGTCGCTCTATCTGTGTATGTCTCTGTCTGTGTCGGTGTCGGTGTCGGTGATTGTGTCTGTGTCTGTGTCTGTGTCTGTCTGTGTGAAGGGGTCTCTTTGCAACATGTGCGTCTGCGTCTGTGCAACTGCCTGCCTGCCTGCCTTAATCTGTCTGCATGTTTGTTTGTCTCTGTGCCCATTTGTTTCCGCCACGATGCACCCAAGTTGCCTCTATCTCGAGAGCGTACATGTTGGTGTCTCTGTTTCATGCCACATGGCACAGTGTATGCAACAGCCCAAGAATACACTACGGCCGTTGGCCAGCAATCCATTCCTAGTCAGCAACCGAGAAACACCAACTCACATGCGCATGCACCGCCCACTACACCTACCCACTGACACCCATCCGTCCACTTCACGTACCCACTCAATGACACGCACCCACTCGCGTGCGCAGTCGCTCAGTGAAAGGCCAAGGTTGTATGTGTGTCATGCAAGGTTGAAGCATCATCAGGGAGCTGGAGCTGTGGCCAAAACAACCAGCGCGCAGCCTTCCGTCAACGGTTGCGCACATGCACATGAGGGTAACAGGATGCAGGCAAGCATGGAGATGAAGACACAATGTGCAACATGTGCTGCAACGCGGGGCAAAACTGAAGGAAGAAGTAAGATCATTGAGCGCATATTCGCCAGCACAACTAGCACTCCCATCACTCGCCACCCAACAAGGGTTTATTTGGCTTCTTCCACCGCAAACGCTGCAAACCCAACGGGTGCCTCTTGCTGCTGTTGCTGTGGTTGCTCTGTGCCGGCGTCACTCGTCCATGCACCGTCGCCACCATCGTCGCCACTGCCGCGCACAGGCTTGTCGTCCGACAGATTACTCTTGTTGTCATCATTGTCTTGCTCGTCCTCCTCATGCAGCGAATCTCTGTCGCCTTGGTTGAGCGGACGCACGAGTGCCGTCTCCATTGTGGGTGCTTCGCTGCGTTCCATCATCGTATCCACGCCTTCCGATGGCATGGCCTGATCATTCAACATGCAACAGGCACACACACACACAAGCACAAGCACACACACACAAGCATACACACACACACACACACACAAGTACGCGCACACACACACAAGCATACACACACACACACACAAGTACGCACACGCACACACACACACATTGTGAGTGATCTGCGAGTCCACAACGAATGATACAGCCCATCGCGAAACAACCCGTGCAGTTGCAACACGCACAATGTGCACCGAATTGGGCTCACCTTGGTGGAATCCATTGTCTCTGTTTTTGGGTTTGACACAAAGGTGGCGGCTGTAGAATGCTCTGGCATGCTGTTATGTGGGTGCTGATGATGATGCTGCTGACTGCTGTCTGTGAGGAAGCTCGGCAGCTGAGACTTGCCACCGCGCACCGTGTCTTGCACCAACTTGTCACGAAGACAGTGAAACACGAAAATGAACAAGCCCTGTGCATGTACATGCGGTGCGTGCGTGGTTCAGGTACCATGAGTACCATTGACGTGAGAACCAGCCATGCGAGCCAGAACCAGCCATGCCAGCGAGAGCGGCTGCAACACAGGAGCAAGGCAATAGTCGCGGCGTCTTCCATGACGCACTGAATAAATGTACCTGGAAGGCGTTGAGAATGGTGAAGAGGTACAGGAAGGCCGTGTCGCCCGTCAGCGCCAGGATGCCAAACACCCACGTGATACCCATCACGCAGAAGAAGCACAAGCTGATCTTGAACCTGATGCGCAAGATGTACAAAGCACCACAAGGACATGTGAGCCCGGACCCCGGAAAGACTATGTGTTGGGGAAGCAGTACGCATGGACTTGTTGAGCACCACGCTCTCATGCGTCACAAGCACACGCGCTCACACACGTGCGGTGAAGCACAGCAATGAATGCTTGTGCGTGTAATTCACATATTGACGCACGCATGCGCATTGATGCATATCATCATCATCATGGCTCTTCATGAGAAACACACCCGCGAACAAGCAAGGTCCTGGTTTTGTTGGACGACGAAGACAGGCCGATGCCCAATACGGATCGGAGAATCAGCACAAACGCCACAATGTTGACGGCGACAATCAGACAAACGGGGCCGAGAAACGCCCACAGTGCCCCATTGTCGTAGGACAACCAACACACGTCATCTGTGCCATACCTGCACAAACACACACGCACAAGAAAAATGGTGTGAGCCGGTGGCCGACGCCTCGAAACGGCACAATCGCCCATGCAAGAAACAGAACACCGATCACTCAAGCCAGTTGAGGTGGATCATCATCATCAACACACTCATGGCACCCCATACGCCAACGTGTGCCCACCCACACGCACAAGCACACACGCACGCACGTGCAAGCGCAAGCACTCAAACACGTACGTGCAAGCGCAAGCACGCACACACGTACGTACGCGCGTACGCATAGGACACAAGCACGCACACACGTACGTACACATAAGCACTCAAGCACTCAAGCACGCACGCACTCGCAATGGTAGATCGTGTTTTTCACTCACGCATCAAGGCCAAGTACGGCTCCCGTGACGATGACGATGACGGCGGGAACGACGTAAGAGATGACGGCCAGACGCACATGCTTCCCACGCGCCGAACCAACAGAGTCAAACACGGTCACGAACATCTTGTAGAGGTTGATGCCTTCCATCAGCATCCACAGAAATGACGTGAGGAGAAAGTAGTGTAAGGCGATGGCGATGCCCGTGCAGACGTCCTTGTTGCTGGTGCGATCCGCACCAAAGACGAGCAGCAGCATGGCGGCGGCGAGGTTCAGGCACAGGTGCATAATGATGATCCGCCCCAGCGTCCGCAACGCAGAGTAGGACGCAAACACGATGAAGGTGATGAGCAGGCTGGGAACGGAGACGGCAATGCCTACGTATGTGATGACTGTCAGCGCCAACTCGTCGGTGCTTGAGAGCTGCGTGGCTGCGGATGTCGTCAAAACGGCAAAGTTGGTCAAGTGGTTGCACTCGCATTCCACCACCGAATCTGGTAGCATGGTGTTGTTGGTGCGCTGACACCCAAAGGTGTCCCACTGGCCAGTGGTGGTGCTTCCCGCCGCGAATTGCCAGAACACGCATTGGTCCGTGTCACCACTACCCGTGGTCGTCTTGCTCACACGATACCGAATCTGCAGCACGGGGGTCATTTGTGCGGACGTGGGTTGGTGATGTATGAGCAACGGCAGTGTTGGGTGCAACACGTGGAAAGGGGGTGCGTGAAACGTGAAATAAACCAAAGAGTGCAGGAACAAGGGAATGGGAATAACAAGGCACATCCGTGGCACCCGATGCAAACGCCCTCGCACCCGTGCACACACACACACACACACACACACACACACACACACACACACACACACACACACACACACACACACACATGTACACACACACACACATGTACACACATGTATACACACATGTATACACACATGTACACGCATGTACACATGTACACACATGCACTACGCACCGTGCCATTAAACGCGGTGTCATCGCCGCTCTGTGCAAGCACGACCGCCGTTGAGATGAAGGGCTGGTTGGAGCCGGCCTGGCTCGACTCTGAAGCAACCGTGTCACTGACAAACAGGTTCGCCGTTTCGTAAACGGCAAAGCTGTAGTATCGCGATGGGTTCGAAGGGATCAGCTCCAGCGTTAGGTTCTGAAAGCTAAGCACCTCCGTATTGGCGAGAGGATCATTGGTGCAGTTGTCGTCAAGGCACAACGTCTCGCCGCTGTCGTATGTCTGATCGGGGAACTCAACAGGCGTGGTTGCTGTCTTGAAGTTGAACGCAGCCGTCGCCACACGAGTGCGGCGGCTCACTTGCTTTGTGCCTGGTGGAAGGGATTTGGCAATGTTGTTCAGCGTCGTCCCAAACACGCCAGGGAGTGAGGCTGAGGAATTGGACTGCCAGCAGAAGCGGAAGATAGATGAAAAGCAAAGCAAGCATGAATGATGGTATGCGTGATGAATGATGGTATGCGTGATGGCAAGATGATGGGGCTGCGCTTGCGTGGGGGAAAACATGATGTGAACGTACACGCAAATATGGCGCGCCCTTGCACATGCACATGCATACACATGCAAATGCAAATATGTGCGCTCGCACAAGTGCACACACACACACGCAAACATACGCAAACACACACAAACACGCAAACATACGCAAACACACACAAACACGCAAACATACGCAAACACACACAAACACGCAAACACGCAAACACACACACACGCATGTGCAGCCACACCTGTGTGCGTTGCTGCTCTGCCTTCTTAACCACTTCAGGATCAACAGCCAAAAGACCATCAACCACCTCAGTCAAACTCGTTGAAATGTTGACCAGGGACTGGGAGCTCAACGAAGAGTTGACTGTGGCACCAACAGACTCCACCACTTGAATCACACTTGACACGTCTTCCGAGCCGATGAACTCGGTGCTCTGGGTCTGGCTGCGAAGCGTTGATGTGACTTGCTCAACATTGCTCGAATCAACCTTCGTTGATGCAAGCGTGGTGAGAACATCATTCACGCATGCGGAACTGTCCACAGCCCCGAGCACATTACTCGCCAGGCAAGCACGCGTCGCCTTCAATGACCTCGTGGTCGAGGGGCACTGCACTCTTGACAAAGCGTTGCAGCCCACAACAGCAGGCCATGTCACGCCGTTGAGGACTTCCGATGGGCAAGAACACTTTGGATTCTTGTTGGTGGTGGTCGTTGTTGTAGTTGTTGTGGTCGTTGTTGTGGTTGTGGTCGTGGTTGGTGTGGTCGTTGTTGTTGTGGTCGTTGTCGTTGCTGGGAACAAGGCCGCAACCGACACTCCGGCAAGGTAAGAGGTGGAATCACCGTCGTAGTAGAAGACGAGGATGGCCACGGTCTGGTTGCTGTCCTGGGTGTTGTCAAAGGAGGCATGCTCCGTGCTGCTGAAGGAAGCAGAGCGGTTCAGCAGCGCACCCGCGTCGTCAAACAAGTAGAGGTCGAGATCAGTCTTCGAGGAGTCGAAAGCAAGGCCCACGGACAGGCTGCAGTTGGGGCAAAGGGTGATGTTGAAGAGATCAATCACATCATCCTCGCACGTGTATCCAAGCACAAAAGTGCCGGCCGCGGACAGTAAGAACGCGTCCTGAAGACTATCGTTGGGCTCGTAATCATCTTCTCCACACTGCATGGTTGTTGTGGTTGTGGTTGTCGTGGTGGTTGTGGTTGTCGTGGTAGTCGTGGTTGTCGTGGTGGTCGTGGTTGTGGTCGTGGTCGTAGTTGTTGTCGTGGTGGTGGTCGTGGTTGTGGGCCCAGGAGAGGACAGAGGTGGTCCGGGAGGTGTGGCTACAGCAGATGATGTTGATGGGGGACTTGGGGTGAAGAAAGCTGACGTCGTGGTTCCTGGTGCCAGCATTGTGGTTGTCGTTGTTGTGGTGGTCGTCGCTACCATTGTTGTGATCGGTGCTGCAGTGGTGGTCGTGGTTGTGGTCGTGGGCGGCGCGGTTGTTTCTGGGCCGGGTGTGTTTTCGTAAGAGAAAGGCGGTGTTGTTGTTGTTGGTGTCGTCAATGTCACGTTTGGGGCACTGATGGTGACAGTGAGCCTGTACTTGGCAAAGGAGCCTGAGTAATGATACGCCTCGATGTCGACAGTGCCACCAGCATAGTCATTTACGATCACAATCTCGTTGTCGCTCACGGAATCCGACGATCCCAATCCCATGTCGTTTGCGCCAACACTCAGGTCGAGATCTGCCACGTCATGTGTGAAAAGCAACCTCACGACGAAGCTGCAGTCTGCACACACGTCAACGGAATACAAATCAGCGTCGCCTGGGCACAGGCTTCCGTCGATGGGCTTGCTGGGATCCGAGATGTGGTACGGCCCAGCATCATCACCATCCAAAAGATCGCAGCTAACATCCTGGAAAAACGCCGGTGTTGTGCTTCCTGCGAGCGTGTGTGTGTGTGTGTGTGTGTGTGTGTGTGTGTGTGTGTGTGTGTGTGTGTGTGTGTGTGTGTGTGTGTGTGTGTGTGTGTGTGTGTGTGTGTGTGTGTGTGTGTGTGTGTGTGTGTGTGTGTGTGTGTGTGTGTGTGTGTTTGAGGGAAAAGGAGGAGAGGACCCACAGTACAGGTGCAAGGATTGCAGCAGACACAACCACACCCACAACCCCATTACCTTCGGCATTGACGTCTTGGACGCTGAAGGCGAGCAACACACTGACTGTGGCAGCAAAGGCGATCGCCCTGAGGAGCACCAAAGCACACGCCATCGTCCTTGTGCCTCCTCTGCCTGTCTGTTTGCTTGTTTGGTCGCTCTCTCGCTGCTCTATCGTGCTTTTCTGTTTACACTCGGCTCTGCTTGCTTGCCTGCCTGTCCTTGTTGAGTGCTGAGTGTTGCTGTTGTTGCTTGGTAAATGTGTGACGACGAAGACGAATGGGGGTGAGTGTGAGGACTGCCAACACAAAACACACAAGAAGCAAGCCAAAACACAAATCGAAGGACTTGCTTGCAGGCAAGACCACGCCCAAAATCGAGGGAACAGGTGTAATGTACTGAATATAGAGTACTGTCCTTTTTATAGTTTTATAGACGAAAGGGGGGCCGCGTGGCTGCGTGACCCGGTGCACGTAATTCTTGATTCTCTTGTTCCACTTTGCTGAAACCAGCAAAACAAAACGTAAGCAGGAACACACTCTACCCGACGCACTCACTCAAGAAAAAAGAGAGAGAAACTCTCTGTCAACAGATTATGAGACCCAAAGCTTAATCAGCACGAACGTAAGGTGAGGGTTGGTTTGTTAACTTAAACTTGATCACAAAGCTATGTAGTGGCTGGAACGTTGCGAGGTGTTTTGTTCTTGAAGATAGAACGTACTGTGTGTGCTGTGTGTTGTGTGGGAGATTGGCTTGGCAAGAGGGAGCTGTGTGTGTTTACTTGAGTTGTGAAGCAAACAAGGATTTAGGGTGAATGAACATGAGCTGAGAGACACCCTCACACATAGAAAACTGGAGGAGAAAGAGACAAGAAAAAGCGCCCTTTTCTGGGCGCACGTACACAGAAATGTTTACAGCAGGATGTGCTGACTCAGCAAGCATTGCCACTGGAACAGTGATGTCAACAGTACGAAGATAGCTGACAACGTGATTGTGGATGACTGACTTAGGTTGTGTGCACCTTTCGCCGTGGAGACCCGATCAAAGGCGTCTTCGTCATTTGCAACGGTGAGACACGATTGAACGAGGAAATGCCATGATAAAACACGGTGCAGAACGTGCGCGTTGGTGTTGAATGTTCATGGTGGTGGTGCTGTTGTTGGAGACTTGTGTGTGTGTGTGTGTGTGTGTGTGTGTGTGTTGTGTGGGAGATTGTCTTGACAAGAGGAAGTTGTGTGTGTTTACTTGAGTTGTGAAGCAAACAAGGATGTGCGATGAATGAACACTCCAACAGAAAGAAACAGAGCAGAAGACAAGAATTGTCGACAACGCAAAGTGGTGACGTGGCAGTGTTTGTTGAGAGTTGTGTGGTTATGTGGTGTGTTATGCAAGAGCATGTAACATCGAGCAACCACACAAGCTAAACACTGCACGTGCAACAGGTCGGAGGGAAATCACGTGAACATTCCAGAACACAAGAGAGGTGAATGCAATTTGGTGGTGTCGTGAAGAAGGAGGTCAATGATGACTTCAGCAGACAGGACTTGTCTGTCAACACTCCCCCGCATTGACCTA